CGGCAGTGTCCCGGGGGCCCGAAGCGCGCCGAGGGAGAATGGGCAGAAGTTGCCAAAGCCTCTTTCAAAAAAATCAGGCCTTGTGCAGCAGGCTCCTAAGAGGTTGTGTGTTAAAGCCTGCGGGACGGGTAACGTCGTGGACTGTACGGAATGAAAGCTGGAGAACTTCTTCCTTCCCGTGAATTTTACCGAGCTTTAGGTTGACTAATGGTCTTGCCCTAAAGTACATCTTTTTGTTCAAAATTCTCATTCTCCCAAGTTATGTAAATAGTTCTTCATACACATCCGAATTCTGTCAGAATGGAATCATAAAGTACACTACGAGAACCATATGTTTCTGTTTTCTTTCACGTCTGTGCCGCAGTAATTCTCAGTTGCTGATGGATGTAAATTGCTCTACAGTTACCTATCACGCTACTGAATGTGTTGTCAAACACATACTGAATTATCGAATATTGAATTATTCAATCATCCTGAATGTGTTTATCAAACGGTATAGTAACTTACCAGGATTCAACACAGGCAGGTAAAGTGTATTTTTATTTATAACAGTACTTTAACAGCAAGCAAAGACTGTAAATAAATCCAAACCATGTGTTTCTTCCCCAGCTTCCTTCTTTGTGTCTTTTCAGCATCATTTATAGTCTGTATCTAAGGGTCTAATTATAGGGGCTCGGGTTGCTAGGCAAAAATTTAGTATTTTGGGAAACTTCCTGTTCATGGTACTTCTGAAAACCAATCCAAAGCCGTTCCCTAATCGTCCGTGTACTGTGTCAGTTAAACAAAATTTTATGCAGTTAAGAAGCAGTTATTACAAAAGAAGTAGGTATTGCCTCTGCTGTGGAGCTGACCTGTTGTCACTAACTCCATTTTGCTGATCTGGACAGCACCTAAATGACTTCTTCCCTCCTTTGGAAAAAGCACCCCAAAATCACGTGTGTGTGTGTTTCGGAATATCATTAGACTTTGCCACAGAGAGTAATAAAACCTCCTGGAAAAGCTTTTAGAAAAGGTGATCTTAGAAAAACTGCATAGGGACAATATTAAAAGAGGAAATAACTTCTTACTTTATCTTCATGCCAAAGTGTACGTGATTATATGAAGTATTTAAATGATATTAGTAGGCATAAAACGAAGCAGCATGCGTGTCATTTTGCTTATAAATTGTGTCAGGATCACTGTTGCATCTGCTAGAAGAATCCTTGAACCGTGAGAGAGACTAACCTATTTTTTGTGTCTTTGATGATAAAATCCTAGATTTTCTTCTCAGGGTAGTTTTCTGAGTTCACATTGATCAAGACATCACTTTCTTTCAAATCTTCTCCAGAACCATGAAGAAAGAGAAGAGAAAAGGTAAAATGATGTTATTTCATCCTGGTTTGAACAATGCCAAGAGTCTGTCTTTAAGAGAGTCAGATAAGATCTGTCTCCGTTAATCATTCACAGAGACTTAAGGGCATAAACCCCACAAAATCCACCCTGTCTTACTGAATAACTTAAAATCCTTAGTGCTGTAAAATCAGTATCCTGCTTTAAACAAACAAAGCAGAGACGTTCAGCGGAATTGCAGCTATTTAGGCTGCAGTATCAATCTCTCCTTGTTGTATAATTGAATATCACAGAACGTTTTCCCTCCTTTTAGGTATGCCTCACCCAAGAGCCTTGCATTTTCCATCATTACTCCTTCTCTGTCACTGTTCCGATACACATGCAAGTGTGCTCAGCTATCCATGGCTACTCAGAATTAACCAGTTACCTTTTTCTAAAATTCAGTTATGTTTTTCTAAAAGTGGACACATTTTGTTTGAAAGACAGATTTTAATGAGTCTAGTATCAAATATCTAAATCTTCATAAAATGAGGGCATGAAAATGTATATGCAAATAAGTAGGCTATATAGGTGATAGCGGAGTTGAAAAAATTCATGACTCAATGTGACCGCGGGTCTGAGCTCTTGTAGCTTTGAATTTGGACAAAGCAACAGTAATTGCATGACCAGGTTCAGGCACTGTGCGCGTGTTCACTGCCTGTCGAGGTCTGCAATAGCCAGGGTGCCCTGAGTTTCACAGAGAAGCAGTTGTGGACGGTGGGCTTCCTTCTGTGGGCTTCTGAGTTTATTACAAAGAATTCGGTGAGCCAAAAGCAGACAGAGGCAACCAAAGTTGTCAGCTTCAAAGTATGTGTAAATGTCCACCTGTGATTCTGAAGTTGCGGTGAGGATTTCTACATCGACCCCTGAGTTTTAATGAAAAATTGGTAACACGGTGCCTCTCTTGTGGAAGTTCATAAAATTGTACAGTATTGCTGAGGGAGAAGTGTGGAAAGAAAAGAAGCAAAAGCACAAGGAAGGTAAGAATGTTAAGAAAAACACAAAAGAAGCAAGTTTGCATAAATATATTCCCTAAGAGATTTTTATGCAAGCTGCCAAGAAGCAGCTCTATCAAGAAATAAAAGCACGGTGTGCAAGCTTCTCAATGTAATGCTGTGAAATATTTCAGTCCTGGCCTGTGTTTGTCCCGCTCCCCTTCCTCTCCTGTGCGGGACCTGGCCATCTCCGCTGAAGGCAAGTTTCACTCAAGGACCAAGCTTGCAACTTAGGTCTTCAGAGAAAAAGCTGGTTTATACGCTGACTGGGACATAATAAATGCAGTAATTTGATATATTCACTAAATTATCAAACTGTCTGATTTTATATATCCAAAACAGTCTTGAGCACCACTGCAAAAGAAGTTGGCAGCCGAGGCACAGAATCCTGCTTGGAGTTTGAAAATCCAATTCCAAACATAGAGGAGGTTGATTTGAATACTGGTTAAACTGACATGTTCAGGAACAGAACTGGATTATGTAAAAGAATTTGGGCAAGAGCCAAACGCTGGTTTTGGAAAGAGAGAAAATGCAGCAGTTGAGCTCCTCTCCAGCTCTCAGGAGAGCTGAGCTTTGCTCTCTGCCTGACTCGCTGGGGTCATTTCCTGTATTTATGGAAGCTTTGATATTCCTGAAAGCACAGTGCAGCCTCGGCGCTGCGTACAGGCGGGGGCATGAAGAAACCGGTTACGTGTTTCCAAACAATTATCTGGTCGATTGGACAAGCAAGGAAAGCGTTCTGCAGCTATGATTGGGTTTCTGCAGAAACCTCTGGTTTTACAGTAAACTGGTTACTGTTTTGCATCTCTTAAAAATCTGGTGGCTAGAACCCCCATGTTGAGAGTAAGTGCTCAGGTCTCTCATCTGCTATCACAGCAAAAATCTGGTCACTGAATAATGGTTTATAGGCTTTAACCGCAGCAATACTGACAAAGTCAGTGCTCATTTGTCGCACGTAAGAACAATTACAAGAAGAGCCTTGCATCAGAGAATCGAAAGATACTTTAAAAGTATTGTTTGAGCTAGCTTCACACATTTATGGCAGGGGTATTTTTGCATTTGGAGAAGATGAGGAAATTAATCAGTTTGCACAAAGTTCTGCTGTAGTTCTCTGGCAAAAGCAGGAGCTGAGAGGACAGATCTCCAGATTCCCGGTCACCTCCCCCAGCCCCTGAGCTGCCTTTCTAAGCCGCAGCTTACTTCTGCAGAATACGAAACGTTTCTTTTTTAATTTCACTTTTACATTTGGTTATTCAGCAGGGCATGTCAGGCGTAACTTTGGACATGACTGAGTGTGCCGGCATGCTGCACTGACGCCGCAGCGGCATTGCTTGTTACGGTCAGGGCCTGGCCGCATTTCAGTAAATGGCAAAAGTCCCACTGGCAGCATGGCCAGAATTTCAGTTATAAATCCCAAATGAGCACTCATGGATGATGACATTATGGCTGGTCAGAGGCACACTACAAATTTCAGAGCTGTTTGATAATACATATCGAGGCCATCATATGCCTTGGACAGCATTTACGTGGGGCTGCAGAGGTGAGAACACTTACAGAGGGTCTTCTTGCATATGCGTGTATCTACTTGTTTTCCATCTACCAGTATTAGTAATATCTACCACTGTTCTTATCCCTTACTAAATGACATGTTTTATTACCTGCTCAGTGTTTACAATATTGTCTCTTGGCAAGTAAAATATGCCCATATCTCTTTGGCTCTGCCCCCATTAACTACAGGGGCAAATGATAGATCCCTTCCCAACTCCTGTGGTATTACCACTGTCTTTAGAGACCTGGCAAATATATTTACGAGCTCTTTTTTAATTTTACTGGTACCATGTCTTTGATGGTCTCAGTATGTATTTCATTATAGAATAGTACTCTATCAACTTTTAATAGTTACTTTGCTGTACCATATTAGAAAAACTTTTAAAAGGTGCAGAAAAAAAAATATTTCTGACTGAATTTAAAAAAGAAACAGCAGAAATTAATTATTATTTCCATGGTGTTATTAGAGCATGGCCTGGTACTTGAAGCTCAGCCACACTGCCTGGATGCTGCAACCTGAGGTAGCAGTGGTGGTCCTGCACCACCATTTAGATCAACGAGCTGACCAGGTCTGCCTGGTGGCAGCCTGGAAGCAGGATTTTCTGCAGAGAACATCTGCTCCTCGCCCACGGGGCCAGAATTGGAAACTTACAAAATTATGGTTGTCAGGACAGAGGAGGCCTCTTGGGGAGAGTCCAATATGCAGAGTTGTCCACCCTGTGTGTTTCCTGCTGTGGGCTCCAGGAGATGACTTTGTCGGTGGCTCAAATGGGTCCCCAAGAGGACGGTCAGGCTCAGACCAGACTGCCTGGAGAGGTTGTGCAGTTCCCTTTCAAGGAAGATTTCATGGGGATAAAGCCCTGAGTGAGCTGTTCTGAGCTCACAGCTGAGCCTGCTTTGGGGAGGAGGTTGGACCGGGACCTGGACGTCTGGGTAGATTCCCCCACTAATTAGTTTGTGGGCAAGGGTGACTTCAAGCTTGGCTCACTTGCACCTGGCTCTGATGTAACACCCCATGCCACAGTGGCTGCGGGGCAGCAGGGCTGTGCTGCTGGCATGGGCCACCACTGGCCCGCAGAAGCCCCTCGGATGCCATGTTCAGAGGCTGCTGCGTTGCGTGGGCCTGTGGGAGGGCTGCTGCGCCCGCCCCATGCCACTGGCTGGCCTCCTGCGGCCAACAACACTGGTTTGGGGGCCCTCGGCAGTGGTGTGTGCTGCAGAGCACCTGGCAGAGGGAAGAAATTGGACTAGCGTCCCCCAGCTCGTGGGGAGGTGGCCAGTACAAACTTGACTCATGTACATCACCTGCTGAGAAATCCAACCGTAAAATTAATTGGCATGAATACGAGACGTATACTTTTCCTAATCAGTTTCAGTGCAATTATATCCAAAGGCCCTTTTCGCGGTCATTCACAGAGCTTAATTGCTATAGTTTAATATTACAATTAAAAAAGGCCTGGAAGGAGAGCTGAATATTAGGCTCCTGATGAATGATAATTATCACTTTGTGTAGATGGATGGAAAACATTTCTAATTAAATTATTCTTGTAAAATAAATTAATAGTGTGATCTGGATAAAGTACTTCTGATTTCACATCTAGAATATTTCCAAGAGCACCAGGTTTGTGCCAGAATTTCAGTTGGTGCTTCAAATAGTGTTTTACAAATATCGGACTTTTCAGTCAATTTAGCAGCTTATCGTAGGTTTCTGCAGTGAAGATGTTCAGCAATGATAGAATGATTCAAATGTTGCACAGAGAATAAAGTAAAATCAAATAAAACTACGCAACTAGCATAATCTCTTAGTTCTACGAGCATGGGGGATTCACAGTCTAAATGGCAGGGATTCATAGCGTAACTGTCACACATTTTCTTCCTGTATTAATTTCATCTCCATCTGAGGATTTTTGCAAGACATAAACCATTAAGCTAATACTTGAAAATGAGAAAAGCTCATTAGCAGCTCCAGCGAAGGGAGTGAGATGGGCAAGGAAGGTGCAGGTCATTAACGTTTGAAAGAGAAGGAAGCGTGAAAGTTTTAAGAAGAATTAGTCAACGTGCAAGCTGTCTGTGCTCTGTAAGAATCCAATGATTTTTGTATACCTCGCATTTCTTTCTCATTAGTGAGACCTGCAATGAATAAAGTAAACAGGCAAATGTAAAGGTCTCAGCTGAAGGTGTCAGACTGCATTTCAAGAAGTGGATTATAGATAATCATTCTGAGATGACCAGTAGCTTCATGGGCTAATACATGTAGCTGACACGTTAGGTGTTGACAGCCGGCCTCATTAGACATTCATTTTAAGTTTCTAGAGCAACTGTCTGTGACTCCAACAGGCATAAAGTGGGAGATAGATGGCCACTTTCTGTCAGAAGATAATGGGAATTTTGTGTCAAGGCACTCTCT